TCTGAAAAGCGAGGTGTGCTCTGATTGGCCAGCTATCCAGTGCGTTGTGATTGGCCAAATACCTCAAGCGTGTGGCGGAAATGTTACGCCCTTTACCATACTGTGATGCCGTGTCCCGGCGCGATGAGACAACACCAATAAAACCCATTATAAATGAGGCATTTGTAGCATCAAATGGGGACATAATTACTGATTATAATTACTTTTTTACACGTTGCGTTGCATGTCTACATGCAACAAAACCATGTCTGCATTTGTGATCGGAGAAACGACAAACAATAAGCTCTACTCACTGCTCAAAACTCACGTTTGAATCGTCAGTGGCAAATTCTTTAAATATGAAAACGTACTTACAGTTGTAAATAATCTTAATGCATCTACTTTCGGAAGGCCAAATAAAGTGCTTTTGCTTTCGCCTAGAAACACACAGCGTCTCCCTGACAAGGCTGCTTCAACACTAACTGCGGTTACTGAAACCACGCCTTCTTTCTTTGCGTGCACATTTGGGCGCATTATGTAAATATTTCCACATAGTGAGGTAGATATGTGGGGCGTGTTTAAACGAGGCGTTTTAGGAGGGCGTGGACGAGTTTGAGACTTTAGTCTTTGCAACTTTAGGGATCTTATCTATTCACGAACAGCTTGTAACACTCCAAAGAGAAAGGAAAACTTGAAATCGCATCATATGACCCCTTTAAGGCACTCCAAACACAGGCAGTGAATGCAATAAAAAAGCTATAATCTCAACAAAATGAGAGATCCATAACAAAAGTGATCCCTTTATGTGATTTTCTCACAATAGTTTTACTCTGAACAGACTGAACAATGTGGTACCAAGAACATTTACAATTGATCAAGCAATACAGACCAAAAATAAACAAACAAGTAAATAAATATTTGAAAATACTGTGAATGTGACCAATGTGATTTCACTGTGGGCAGGACTTATTATACTCATAACTGACAAAAACAGATGAACATGGAAGTTCAACATTTCCAAAACTTTTACAGTTTTTCCTTTACAGCCTTATGCTCACCAAGGCTACATTTATGTAATCAGAAATACAGTAAAATTAGACATTTTAAAATATTATTACAATTTAAAACAGCTTTCTATTTTAATATACATTAACATGTAATTTATTCCTGTGGTGACAAATATTGAAAAACATTCTAATATGCTGATTTGGTTCTCAAGAAACATTTCTTATTATTATCAATGTTGTGTTGCATAATATGTCATGATTGGAAACAGTGCTAAATTTTTCAGGATGCACGATAAATAAAGTTCAAAAGCATTTATTTGAACTAGAAGTCTTCTGTAATATTGTAAAAGTCTTTAATGTCATTTTGAAAAAAAATAAATCATACTGACATACATACAAACACACGCACAGCTATTTCCATTACTTACTTGAATCCAGATCTAGATATCCCAATTTTAAAATAACCTGATATTTCCATTTTTAATATCGCCACAGGGACCTTGCTGGTTAGGACACAGTGTAAGAACTATGTGAATAGGTCCACTATACTGTGACTTCATATGCACTGATGTCACTACATGCGGTTAAAGAGCCAATGTGTTAATGTGTGAGAAAGTGAAACCGCCTCACCAGGCAAGACGAAGGGAGATGACAGCTCACTCTCCGGCTCCTCAGTGAGTTTGTCCTCCGCTACGTTGCCATTTTCTATGGTGTCAGCTTTCTTATCAGCCACCAACACTGCATCCACCCCATTGGCCATCTTTGCCAGCCGCTGCTGCTGTATGAGGGGCAGGGTGCAAAAACTGCTTCATGATTCACTCTTATGCATTTCCTCACAAACCCACGCTTTTCAGTTAAGCTAATTTGAAATTTTTCCACTAGTATGATGCTCATTTTCTGAAACACTTGGGTGTTAGAAATAACACAAGAGTGAGTAAATAAGGATTTTTTTTTTTCCATTTCTGGGTGTACTATCCCTTAAAATGTTATATTGACGAGACTGGCAACCTTTTGTGTCAAAGTACTAACAGTTTAACACCATTCCCAGCCTCAATTCTCTTAACTAGCTGACATGTCACCATCAAATTCCTCAACAGTCTTTGTAACAGGGGTTTGAATTTCTAACACAATTCTTTGAACGCCAGCGTGTGGATATTTATAGAAACAGTTTAATCAGCCTCACACCCAGAACTAGGCTACCTGACGTGAGAACTCCACAGTGCTGAGTTAGCCAACAAAGACTGGCCCATAAGCTCCGGCTTGAACTCCGGCTTATAATCAAGTCTCCGGATTCCCAGTGTTAAATATGCTCTATTATAACCGGATCGTGCAGACTCTGAATTCTCAACAGATGAGCCGCATTTGAAGAGCTTGTAAAATAACTGAACACATCTGCAACTCTAATCTGTTGAATTCAACAGGAATCAGTGTTTACAACCCATTTGACTTCTGTATTGTGACATTTTCCAAGCGAAAGATGATGTTCGAAAAAGGAACAATAAGTAAGATGGGGATTCAAATTTTATCCATCAGGAACTGAATGTATTGTGAAAAGTTCGCTAGATACTGTAGTTTGTGAAGGGGATGCGTTTTTGTCCATACAATGGAACAAAATGGGGTCCAAAACAACACTGAACTCAATTGACTTTCATTGTATGGACCAAAAAATTATTACCGTTCACTCAGCTAGTGTATTTTCTTACCTCATTGATGATAAGTCGGCTTGCCATGCGCAGACGTGTCTTGGGCCCAAAGTGGTTGGTGATCATGACCCTGAGGCCGGCCTCGGGGAACCGATAATGCGGAGGGCTTGAATTTATCATCTCGTCCACCATCACAACAGAGCCCCTAGTGTACTCTTTACTGGGCTTTACTGCGGACACGGAGGAAAAATTTTTTGTAAGTGCACCTATACATTGTACTCATGCTCAATACGTGCAGCATGTACAGTATTTGTTCATAAAACACACACATAACTGTCAAACTTGCCCTAAGAGACCAAAAATAAATAAATCCTCACAACAACTGCGCACAGAAACCAGCAGGACTGTAAACACACACACTCAAAAGAAAAAGGATGTGTCACAATTTTCAATCTAAAGTCCTATTTGTCAGTGAGAGACTGATTCCTGCTGGGATACACTGTAGGCCCACCTCTCAGCGCCTCAGGATACTGTCAGAAACCATCGACACACAGAATACTGACATGAAATGAAATCCTCAACTATCCCGCAGATTACTGCAGGACACCACAGGAAGAGCTCTATTGCCAATACACTATTAACTACATATAGACAAACACAATGACCAAAGACATTCACAATATTAAAGGAATATTCTTGGTAAAATCTAACTTGAAGGTAAAATGAGTGATTTCTGTGCCTCAAGTGCTAATTAAATGGCAAAAAAAAAATGTTTTTTTTTCTCCGTGGGACATCATGCATTGATAAACTGTACACAATGACACCAGGAACATTCTCAATTCTGATTTAATGTTGTGATGTTATGTTACCATATCTGTATTTCATTTGCCTTTGTCCTTGGCAGATATCTTTACAAAACCTCAATTGAATACATGAATGCAAACCTTATCAATCAGACAGTGACAGATACTATTTTGTAAACGAGTGGAAGGCTGTATCACTGATTGTGAGAGAAAGACATGAACACACACACACACACACACACACACACAGAGAGCGAGCACTGCAGGATGAGACAGGAGCCAGGGCAGATTTAGTAAGGCTAAACAGACAGGCTTCAGCAGGGGGGTGACAGAGAGCGCCACGCAGCACAACGGTTAGAGCTGCACTACAGGACACCACGCTCTGAAACAGAAAGCGCACCGCAGTTATTCAGCAAGGAAGCAAAGTGTCAGCCTCTCATAAGAGATGTCAGATGGCTACGCTTTCAGTAAGTGCTGTTGGCGTAGGTTTTACAAACAGCAGAAATACAGATAGTAGAGTGGAATTCATTTAAAGAGAACAAGATCTGACTTTGTTGCAAGCGGCAGAGGGTTAGTCGCTACTAGCCCACGAGGAAGCCTGTCTAGTTACCCTTACCTGGTCTGAGTAACGGCCATGATGGATCATCCCAAAACTGATCATAACATGTATTACCATCCTCCATCTCGCTGATGACCGTATTACCATTGGCGACACTCTTGTCTTCCTTCCCCGAAAAGTAGTTCTGCATGCTAGTGTTAAACCTTTAAAAAACAAAACAAAACAAAAACACACAAACTGATTTCTCAGGCAAAAAAGCTCAATTGTCTATTGTCAATAGTGTAGTGATTTATGAAGCACAGCTCACACAGAAGTTACTTTCAAACCAAGCAGCTTTCTGTTGTTCGATATGGCAAATGACCAACTTGAACAAAATCTGCATGGGGAAATCTTTGACTCGACACACAAAAATCCTGATTCTGTAAAATCCTATTGAAATGACTGGATTTTGGCATGAAAATTTACTGAACAGCAGTAAATGTAACTGCACCTTCATTTAGCACATCGAAGTACCATGTAGTTCTATGCTGTCACTTTACTAAAATTTAAAGGTCCCCTGAAATGCTTCGAAACACGTAGCGTTACTCTATGTGTTGACATCATTTTAACTGAAACAGGAAGACAGGCCAGGACTAACACCCAAAAAACTTTCATTTTGATTTCATGGGGACTTTAAGTAGTCAAATACCAGCAAAGACTCAATATTAAACACTTATTTCATACCACAGCAATAAACATTTCAATAACACACTCCTTTATTTAAAATGTCAAATATTAATGGAAAACATGATAATTTAAAATACTTAAGGCTAAATAGTTTTAACTAAAATAAATAATCGGATGTTTAAATAAATGAGTACACAAAACGAAGGTGGACTCACTTCATGATGATAATGTAGCCAACATACATGACAATCAGTATCAGACTCTCCCACCTGCAGAGACAGAGGAGGAGAAAGACAATCATGTGTCTGCCTTCAACCAATCAGAATAAAATATACTCAGAAGTTCACTTACCACAAAATCTTTTCATCATAAATAAACTGAAAGAAAAGTGCAGAGTGTGTAAATATTTATGGAGTGGCAGCAGATTTTCAGTGCATGTCTTAATTACATGCTCTATAGAGCTCAACAGTGACAACCCAGTATTTTCTTCAGATTTTTTTTTTTTTTAAAGATGTTTAATAAAGACTTGAACCAAACCAACGAGCCCCAGTTTTTTCCAATGAAAAAGCTCAGTTCTCGTTTGTTTCTCTTTTCAAGTAAAGAGGGGCAGCCATCTGCTCCCCGCGGTTCAGGACCCGCCGCTGCTGAGGCACGGAGGAGAATGAGCTTGTGGGGATCTCAGGTGGACCTGGCCGGTGAGTTTAAAGAGGGGCTTTCCCTCTCACGCTCATCGGCAGCGGGCGAGAGACAGCCGCTGGAGGATGATGTTCTCTCTTTAACATCATCTGATCCAGGGGCCAGTGCTCTGCTGGGTTCAGCCCAGGAAGAGCAGGAAATGGATGAAGAGAGCGAAGAAGCTGAGGCTGAGCCTTTCTCAATCCTCCTGCCCTGCGATATTCAGTGGCTTTTTCCAGTCAAGGCTTCAAGCTACTTGCCTATATTGAGTGACACAAATGATAACTAGCCCCTAAAGTTGCCCAAAAACATATTAAACCATACAAAAAATATAACAAGTTTAAAATTTTAAGTATTTATTGATCCCCAAGGGGAGAAGGTAATGGAAACTTGCAAAACGTCTCAGGTTACTTATGTAACCATTGTTCCCTGAGTAGGGAACGAGACCCTGCGTCCTCTAGGTTTCTTGCCATGCTGCGGATGCAAGCTTCAGACGAAGAAGTGAATGATGTGTAGCTCCCGGCGCTTATTTATACTATAGTCGCACCGGTAGTGACGTCATGGCTGTCGCCGGCCAACGAGTTGGTGTTTTTTCAATGTATGCTTCAGACACGGGTCACGACGAGGCGTTCCCCATAGCGACCCCTAGAGGACGCAGTGTCTCGTTCCCTACTCAGGGAACCATGGTTACATAAGTAACCTGAGACGTTTTTGTTGTTGCTTTTTAAAAGAAAGACTGACAAAGATACAAGTATTGTCTTTATATCTGTGTATTTAAAGGGATAGTTCACTCAAAATTGAAAATTTTGTCATTAATTCTTATGTCGTTACAAACCTGTAAGACCTTCGTTCATTTTCAGAACACACAGTAAGACATTTTTGATGAAATCCGAGAGCTTTCTGACTCTGCATAGATAGCAACACAACTATCACGTTCAAGGCCCAGAAAGGTAGTAAAGACATCGTTAAAATAGTCCATGTAACATCAGTGCTTCAACCTTAATTTTATGAAGCTACGAGAATACTTTTTGTGCGCAAAGAAAACTCAATTTCTTCTCTTCTGTGTCAGTCTTCGGCACCCGTTCACAAGAGTACCACGACACATGTGTGCGTCCTCTGCTTGCAAACAAGGCACAGTGCATCTGGTTCTACGTCAGAACGCCAGCTCATGTGTCAGCAGCACCACACACGTGTCGTGGTACTCTTGTGAACGCGTGCGAAGACTGACACGGAAGACAAGAAATGGTTGAATAAAGTCTCTTTTCTTTCAAAGTTTTCTTTGCGCACAAAAATTATTCTCGTAGCTTCATAACATTATGGCTGAACCACTGATGTCACGTGGACTATTTTAATGATGTTCTTACTTCCTTTCTGGGCCTTGAATGTTGCGTTGCTCTCTATGCAGGGTCAGAAAGCTCTCGGATTTCATCAAAAATATGTGTTCTGAAGATGAATGAAGGTCTTACGGGTTTGGAACGACATGAGGGTGAGTAATTAATGACAGAATTTTCATTTTTGGGTGAACTATCCCTTTAAGTATTTTATAAGGGCACAGCAAATACTGGAATCAAATCTGAAACTACAATACAAAATAAAGCAATAAAGTAACTGATTTTAATAAAAAACATCTGAAGCGTATTGAATAATACTGAAGTGGGATCCTTTGACTTGGTTGCTGGGGTGTTCTTGGTGGTTACTGGCCCATTTAGAAATACTCTACTCCATAATGGCAACAACTTCTACAAGCATTACTGACTTTTCTTCATAAAAGCTTCTAAACCATTGTTTAACATCCTCAAAGCTCATGGTCCACCTATTTTGAAAGTTTTTTTTGTGTTTTTTTGTTATTGCTAATTATCAGTTTCTTTGTGGAGAAATTTAATGGGATTTTTACTTCTAGAACCTACTCTATTTTGCCTCTTAGATACCAAAGCTCATTAGATTAATGACACTTACTGCAATAAGGGCAACCACAGATAAAATGTAGTAGATTGAGTCTCTGAACACAGCAAACTTGGTGAGAAAAACAACCTAGTGGGAAAAGAGAAGATCTTTGTAAACAGAAGTCAACAAAAGCTTTTTTTTTGCTTTGTTAAATTTATCACGTCTACTGTACCCTCAAGTCATGCCATAAGCCACAACAAAAAAAAGGTTTTATTTCTCAAAAGACAAAAATATCACAGCAGTGTGCTTTTAAAAAGGCCTTTCTTGGACCTCATTACAGTAACCAAAGTATTTGCCTGCAAAGCCTATATTTAATGTGGTAGAACTTTCACTTTTTTTAATGGAATATTTAAAAATAAACCATTGTTTGAAAGGGAAAAAAACAATCCTGTTGATTAATTTTCACATTGCAATGCTCAGATGAAAACATGAAAAGGTCAAAAGTCACAGCAGATCCAAAGGAAGAGAGGTGTATACAGAGCTCAGAGAGATTCTCACCTGCCCCGCAAATATCCCACACACGCCGATGATGCACAGGATGTTGAACACGGCTGAGCCTACTATGGTACCCACCCCCACATCTCCATGTGTTATGAACACACCTGCAAAACAAAGCAAGAGAGTCCTGATCCACAGCATCTGTTGACACATGACTAATAAATGCACATACAAGCACCTGTACGTGTGGCTTACCAATTATAGAGGCAAACAGCTCGGGGGCGGAGCTTCCAGCTGCCATGAAGGTCGCTCCTGCTACATCTTCACTCAGGTGCAGTTTCTGATGGATGGGAGGAACATACAGAATCACACAGAGGATGTGCGGAGGCCATAATTAAAAGGTCTAAATAATTGGGTTGTTTGAATGACTAGCAGCTCTTAAAGGAACAGTTCACTCAAATGATTTTAGTCATTACTTTTTACACTAAAAACTGGAAAAGAGCAGCATGAAGATAATTGTTTTATATTTTAATATTTTCAATCGTACTTTATTCCTGTGATAGCAATGCTAACTTTTCAGTATCAATAGTCCAGTCTTTAGAGTCACATGATCCTTCAGAAATCTTTCTAATATGCTAATTTGCTGCTGCAGTAAAATTTCAATTTTTGCTGCTCAAATAAAATAATCAAATCATCATCAGTTGAAAACAGTTTTTGTGTAAACATTTTTTTTCAGGATTATTTTATGAATAGATGAATTTGATGATTTTTAGTAACAAATGTCAGTCTTTACTATCAATTTGATTCATTTAATGCATTTTTGTTGAATAAAAGCATTAATTTCTTGCAAAAAAAAACAAAAAAAAACTTACTGACGCCAAACATTTGAATGACAGTGTATATGCCTTAATGTAGCCAGTCACTGTCATTACATTTAAAACATTTGCATAAAAACTCTTCTAAAAAAATATTGCTACACTACAAAAATTAAGCAGGTTTCAAACAATATGAAGTAAATAAATAAATAAATTACAACTGAGAATGAGAGGCCGCCGTGTGTGACACACCTCGCTTTTCAGACCGATGAGCTTTGTAAAAATCGACGAGTTTCAGAAAGGCGGGGCATCGAGGAGAAACAATAATGTACAGTATGTGGAAAATAATGTGTTTTTTGAACCTTAAACAGCATAAACACATTTCATTACATCAAATGCACAAAATAATGTTCTTTTTAGCAACATCATATGACCCCTTTAAGGAATTGGCTGGGTTAAGAGTCATGTTGCCCAGACACTGATCAGGCACATTTTTTAGGGATATTTTGACAATAAATGCTGAGTAATTGACAGATATTCAAAAAATAAATAAATAAATAAATCAGCTGAATAACTATAACCTTTAGTTATAAATTTTAAAGGATTATGTATAATAAGAACATTGCCCGCAGCAGGCGATTTGAAGTCGGACATTAATTTGTCGAAGTTTATTGTAAAAAATTTATAATTTATTACAAAGACAGTGCTTTGATGGCTAAAGCACAGCAGGCTGCCAGCATGCTAAAACCTTCTCTAAGAAATTGCCTATTAAAAAAATATATTAAAACTAAAAAGAAAAACTCAAACCAACCACCCACACCTATCTCTAATAGAGTTGCATATTAGTATTACAAGATCTAGTATCCAGCATAACAGGAAGGTGTTGGAAATGGGTTTAGAAGAACAGGTCAAAGTGATTCTGGGAACTGGAAGCCCATCGTTGCCACAGCCAATTTATTCTCACCTCACAGATCTTCTCTAGAGAGGTCACAAAGTAGTCATCACAGACAATAGCAAGGGCCAGAAACATATATAGAGCCTGAAATGGGAAGATAGACAAGAATGAGATGCACCATAATGGGGCTTGATGTACAGAAATAATTCAAGTTGCATGTCTAAATGGTTTTCTGTTCTATAAGCAGTTGCTGACAGGGTGGTTTCAGCACCGTGAACCCAACGGCAAACTCATAACCAGTCATAAATGATGGCGAGAGCTAACAAACTATTTATAATTGTCATAAAATTCTAAGACAAGCACCATTTATCCTAGATGACAAGGTCAACTGGTGAGCAAGGCTAGACGTTGATTGACGTGCGCACACAAAGTTCTCCTACCGCAAATATGTGTAGAAGTACAGCTCCTTGAGTACGCTGTCTGTTGGTGAATATATCCTCGGGGAACTCGTGGATGGCTGCATTGAAAATGAGAAAGAAAAAGTCACTTTGGCGCAAGTTGTCACTTTCCATAAAAATTATCCAGATAAAAACCTGATGGTACAGTCCGTAAAACCAGATCTGCATGAGTTTCCAAGGAACGATTGGAATGTGTGGGCAACAGAATATAAATCACACCCTAGGGACAAGCGACTTCATCATAATGCAGGAAACACATTGTATATGTAGTACGCATGGTCAGCAGTGCATGGGACTACATTATTATTTCACACACTGACATTCATCACAGCCAAGGGTACGCTCAATTTAGTTATAGGAAAGAAAATTACTAATGCATGATAGCATGTAGTCTGTATACAGTAGCTTCAGAAAGACTATTCAGAGGTGTATCCAGTAAGGAGCTTTGATAGTGGGACGTTTCACTCTCTACACCTGATATCCTGGGCTCTGGGTGAGTTTGAATAGGTTAAAGTAATGTAGATTTGTGCAGCCCGTTTCAACAACAGATTCTAGAAAAACAGCATAGTTTTGATGCAACTTCCTCAGTGACTGTCAGACAGTAGCTACAAATCACTCACAAAAAAAAGTTGTCAGCGCTGCCCCGTGAATTTATCAATAAAATAATTTTGCAACTGAAAAGCTACATGACATTTCTCAGTAGCGAGGTTCTTGAAGCAGTTCAACTTAAAGCAAGGCCATAACCATGTCTTGAACATTGGGGGGGGACCAACTAACATACATACTAGGGCTGTGCGAGAATGTGAGGGGTGTACTCACTTCTGTGAGATACTGTATATATTAGGGCTTGTAATTTAACACGTTAATTAGATTAATTAATTATGGTGAAAAATAACACGTTAAAATTATTAACGCATTTAACGCACTTGCCCCGCCCCAGACCTACGTGGGTCATCTGACATTTCATACAGCTGATTGATGACAAATATGATGCAGGGCAACAACTCACTGCATGAATGTAGTTAGAATGTCCCTTAAATTCAAGATATGGGGCAAAAATGCCCGTTTGAGTTTTTTTCTCTCATATTTACATCCTATAGTTATATAGCAATATCACACGAGCAATAGGCCAAGTGCAATATCACATGAGTGCAAATGTGTTACTGATCTTATACAACAGTTCAGTAAATAAGTTGTTAATAATTTTAGACACAATGTTGTCTGTGTTGCTCAATTTTGCCAACGAAAATATAAAGACAAAACAGAACTGTTCATCTCCAAGCAACACACAGCGGCATTTCATTCTTAATGCACGTTTTGAATGAATTGGATGAACCATTTGGCGCGTTGAACCATTGGCCATATAGGCGCGTTGGATTTGAAGCAGCGCTGCACAGACCGATCAGTGTATGACATCAAAAGTACCGCTAGAGCAGTTCAAAAGCATAAGGAGTTCTTGCGGTATTTTGATGACACACACCGATCGGTCTGATGGTGATGATCCGCAAATCCGGTGAAATGAATGAATAAATTACTTGACTTAATCATTAAGACATTTACCACCACCTACTGACAGTTTTAGTTTATTATTTAGAGTATCATTTCCATTAAAGAAATAATTTCATATTTCCATAGTAATAATAATAAAATTAATAAAATAAATTAAGGTATAGTTCACCCACACAAAAATTAAAATTTTGTCATCCTTTACTCACCCTTATGGTCCAAAAGAGTATATGTAATAAATTTTATCAAACAAAATATTTCTTGCTGAAGCTACTTTTTGATATATATCAATTCTTTGTTCAGTCCAAAACCATCAACAGAATACTTAGTTTTTTATGGTTTGTGTAATTAAAACTTTGTCACTTCTTGGAGGATGATGTCATTTTGGAACTGGCTATTATGAGTTACAGAGATTTTATGAACGACTAGCAGGTTGGAAAGTGATATTGAGAAATTATTGTTATTTTTTAACTTAAAATATTCTTATTGGGGTCACTTTCCCTATAAAGCTTGTAACTCCTTGTCTACACTAGGGCTGTCACGATAACTACTTTTTGTTGTGCGATATATTGCACCAAAATTAATTGCGATAAATGATATTATTGTATTATTATTATTGATATTATTATTTTACAACCATTTTATGCCACTCATTAATGACAGTATGACAATATAGCATAATAATGCAAGTACACTCTTTCAAAGAACAAAAAATGTTATATAAAATAAAGAATATTTAGACATTGGAATCGGAATGTGAAAAAATATATCCTAAGAAAATAAAAATAATAAAAAAAAATTAGGGATGCAACGATACCATTTTTATTTAGAACCAATCCGATCCGATACGATATTGAAAATTCTGAGTATCGGTCAACAGATAC